TTCTGTAGCTCAGGCCAGTCTGAAAATCATTATGTGAACTAGGTGGGCCTTAAACTCAAAGTGATCCCCCTGCCTTACCCTCCTAAATGTTGAATTTTTGAGCATGAACCACGGCACCACCATGCATAGCCTTTACCTTTTATTTTCAGTCTTACTAAATTGCCCAGGCTGACCTTGAACGTGTCAGCTTTCTGTTTGCTGTGTGTGTGTGTGTGTGTGTGTTTCTCCTTGTTGTTATTTGTTTGTTTGCCTTTTTGTTTTTTGAGACAAGAGTCTCACTATGTAGCTCTGGCTGGCCTGGAATACATTTTGTAGACCAAGTTGATGTAGAATCCACAGAGATTTGCCTGTCTCTGCCTCCTGAGTGCTAGAATTAAAGGCACGCACCACCACACCTCACAAGCTTTAAAACTGTTTTTTCAACAGGCCTTTAGTCCCAGCACTCCAGAGGCAGGTAGATCTCTGTGAAATTGAGGCCAGCCTGGTCTATACAGTGAGGGCCAGGCCATCTGGGGCTACAGGGAGACCCTGTCTCAAAAAGACCCAAAACAAAACAAAAAAGGCATTTTCTTATTTATTTTAATTAAAAAAAAAAATATGTGTGTGAATGTTTTGCCTACATGTGCACCTGGATTGTGCAAATACCCACAGAGGCCAGAAGGGGGTGCAAAATTCCCTGGAACTAAAGTTACAGCTGGTTGAGCTGGCCCTGCTAAGCCATCTCTCCAGTCCCCCAAAATGTTTTTGGTTTTTTTTTTTGTCTTTTTTGAGTCAGGGTCTCCTTGTAGCCCCAGCTGTCCTGGAACTCACTATGTAGACCAGGCTGGCCTCAAATTCACAAAGATCCTCCTGCCTCTCCCTCTCAAGTGCTGGGTGGGATTAAAGGCGTGCGCCACCACGCCCGGCCCCCAAAATGTTTTATATTACTTTATTTTGTGTGTATGTGTGTGTGTGTGTGTGTGTGTGTGTGTGTGTGTGGTCAAAGACAATTTTGTAGAGTCGCTCTCTTTCCACGGGTTCTGAGGAATGAACTCACGTCACCAAGTCACCAGGTCTGCATGACAAGTGCCTTTACTACTGAACTATCTCACCTCCTTTTTCTGGGATTGTAGGTGTGCTACCATGCCCAGTTTATTATTATTATTTTTTTTAGTGTGATGCTGAGGATTGAACCCAGGACTTCATGCATGCCAAATAAGACTTGTACTTCCTCTGAGCTCCAACCTCAACCCTCTTTGCTCATTGCTTTAAATAGTTTGATGAGAAGCAATGGAGCCATGAAACTGTTGGGGTTAGAAGCTCCAGATTAGGGTCTATAAGGTGGTTCAGCAAGTGAAAGCTGACCCCGAACCCATGATGAAGGAGAGAACTGCTTCCTGAAAGTTGTTCTCTGGCTTCCTCACACACACACACACACACACACACACACAATACAGAGAGAGAGAGAGAGAGAGAGATCCCACATTAGAGCTGGATGTGGTGGCATCAATGTATAATTGCAACCCTAGAGAGGCAGAGGCAAAGCAGAAAACCATCCAAGCAAACAAACAGAAGCCCTGGGTTCATACACGAACAGACTAAGTGATTGTAGCCTTCAGCAGTCAGGTAACATCTCCGGGATGTATTTCTCCCTCTACAAACGGGCAGTGCTGGGACTGCTGAGACTGAGTGTCAGGTGCTTGTGGTATTTATACAGGGGACAACGTTCCCTGTCCTCAACTCCTGTACACTGGGTCACTTGCATTCTCCCAAATGTTCTTTTTTTTTTTTGGACTTTTTTTTGAGAAAGTGTCTCTCTCTCTGTAGCCCCAACTGGCCTGAAACTCACTATGCAGACCAGGCTGGCCTTGAACTCACAGAGATCCGCCTGCCTCTGCCTCCCGAGTGCTGGGATTAAAGGTATGTGCCACCATGCCTGGCTCTCTTGTCTTTTTGAGATAGGATCTCTCTGTAGCCCTAGCTGACCTGGAACTCACTATGTACACCAGGCTGGCCTTGAACTCACAGAGATCTGCCTGCCTCTGCCTCCTGAGTGCTGGGATTAAAGTCATGTGCCACCACGCCCAGCTCCTCCCAAATGTTCTTTTCAGGCCCTTGTTCATGCAATTTGCTTCAACCTGGAATATTGTCTAAGGACATTTTTACAGCCCTACTAAGAAGCTGGGTGCTGTGATACACATCTGTAATCTTAGTATTCAGGGGGCTCAGACAGGAGGATCCCCAAGAGTTTGAGCCCAGCCTAGGCTACATAGTAAGACACAAAACAAAAACTAATAATAATTCTTCAAAGCCCAGTCCTTTGTCCCTCGCTCCACCTAGGCTAGGTCCTTTTCCTTCTGCTTTTCTGTGTCCTGCTTGACTCTGGTGGGACCCTTAAGCAAGTCATTCTTGACATCCTGGCTTCCTATGCAAGTTAAATGCCCCTGACACAGCTCTTCATTGGGGTAACAACTGTCAAAGAGCAACTTAATTTCCCATTGTTTCTGCTAAACCATGAACTCCCTCTAAGAGTAAAGACCTGCTCCTATATCCCTGACACTGGGCACAGTGCCCAGCACATAGTAGGTGCTCAACATTTCTTTTTTGAGACAGGGTCTCACTATGTAGCCCTAACTGGCTTGGAACTCATTACGGTATGAAATTCCCTGGAACTGAAGTTACAGCTGGTTGGTCTGGTTGAGACCAGACTGGCCTCGAACTCACAGAAAGCAGCCTGTCTCTGCCTCCCCAGTGCTGGGAGTTAAGGCGTGTGCTACTACACGCTACACGCTACATTGTTTGGCCTGGAACTCACTATGTAGACAGACCAGGCTGCCTTGGATCTCACAGAAATCCACCTGTCTCTGCCTCCTGAGTGCTGGGATTAAAAGTATGCACCATCACGGCCAGCTTCCAACACTGTTTCTATTAAATTGGTTTTAAACATTTTTTGTGTGTGTGTGTTGAGAATTAAACCTAGGACCTTATACATGCTAGATAAGAGCTCTGAGCTGTATTCCAAGCTCTACCCCCCAATTTTTTTGAGATAGAATCTCAAGCTGGCCTTGAAGGTGCTGAGAAGGACCTTAAACTCCTGATCCTCTTGCCTCCACCTCCCATGTGCTAGGATTATAGTGTGTACCACCATGCCCAGCCGAAACTGCTGAAAGTGTTCCCTTGACAATACATGTCCATCTCCCTCCCCTGAATATAATGTCATTTAGGACAGAACTGCTGTCTCTTCACCCTCCTGCTAGCTTGTGTCTAGGATGATGCGGTTCTAATTGTCAGTGCCATGTTCCTTCATCTGTAAAGTGAGGCAAATAACAGCCACCCCAAAGGATGCTGTAAAGGTTAGGGTGTGAAAAACACTTTGTAGATGTCAGTGTGTACTGAAAATGCTGGTTTAGGTTTTTGGGGAGGAATCTGGAAGTTGCAGCTATGGTATAAAGAGAACCGCCCCACCCCAAGGGTTTCAAGTAGCCCAGGCCAAGGATCACCTTGAATTTTTGATCTTGCCTCAATCTGGCATGCCCCATCATACCTGATTTATGTGGTGCTGGGGATTGAACCTAGGGTTTGTGCATGCTAGACAAGCACCCTACCAGCTGAGCTATATCTCCAGCGTTAGAGAGAGCTCCTTTTGGAGTCAGATACTATGGGTTCAAATCACATCTTGGGCACATATCATGTCAACTTCTATTCACTTCTAAATCCTTCTGAGTCTTGACTTTGACCATTCTGTTTGTCAGATAGGAATACTAGTGTCTACCTTGCTGGGTTGTTGTGAAGATTCTAGTTGCCCTTAGAAGTGTCTGGCACTGGGGCCTGGTACAGGCTCAACTCTGTATGAGTGTGGCCCAGTGTGGTTTGACAGTGGATGACTTGAGCTGAAGAGGGCTGACTACTCTAAGCCTTCAGCCTTTTCTCTAGGCCCCACATCCAACCCCTCAGTATGTGCTCCTTAAGTGACCTTAGCACCCTTGGCCTGGATATCTTCCGTCTCCATCCTCTGTCTCTGTCAGTGGTGACTTCTCAGTCACAGAGGCCTGAACCCTGGACCCATCCTTGGCTCACCCTCTTTCCTCTCCCTCTGCCCCTCAACACCACTTAGTTGCTATGGTGGGTCAATATTTCCTTGGAAACATCTCACCAGTCTGTCCTTCCTCTCCTTCCTTGGGTCACTGGCTGCCCCAGGCTGACTTGCATTCAGGCCTGCAAGGCCATGACAGCCTCCTCCAGCCTTTACTCCCTTTATTGATGCCCCATTCACCTGCAACTAGCCCTTAAGGAGGCACTTTCTTGCTCAAGAATGGGCAGTAGCTCTCTATTTCTTATCCTATTAAACCTAGATGATTGATTCTATTCATCCATCTGTGTACTCTGGAGACCCTGATGATCTGAGTTCAATTCCCGGAACCCATGTAAAAGGCTGGATGCTACAGTGCACATCTGTACCCCAGCACCCTTCTGCTGAGACAGGAGGAGGAGACAGGAGATTGGCTGGAAGTTCACAGGCTAACTAGCCTAGAGCACACAGCATGAAATACTGAATACCAGAAATACTCTGACCTCCACATGTGTGCTGTGGCACATGTGCTGTGTGCACTTATATGTATGTACACACACACGTGTAATAAGCCATCCCCCACCTCCTGCAGCGTTGCTTTCTGCTTCTCCCTCTTTCCTGGCCCAGCACCCTCAGCCCTCTACCTCCCTCCAGCACTATCACCCTTTTGGGTCTCCTCATTCTCTGGATGGTGGGGCACGTCACTGAGGGACAAGTGGGACAGTGCAGTGTTGACGGTGCAGAGTGGGCTGACGGGGGAGCTCAGCAAATGCTCCTATTATTGCTGTGACTAGAGCACCAAAGAGCCAGTGATGCTTGTCACCCCACTGACAAGACATAAAGAGGATGGGGTCACAGGAAGTGAGGATGAGCTAGGCATAGGAGGAAAATGCCGAGTGGTCTGGGGAGAGAGGGCAGGACCACAGGGTAGGGGTGGGGGCACCATACTCACTGTGCTGTAGTTGCCAAAGAGGCCCAAGGTTGGGGTAGGCTCCAGTGGGAAGGGTAGGATCTGCTTGAGGTCCAGCGGTGGCTGCATGATGGGGGGCTGCCGCAGCAGAGGAAGGGGCCCCGCCCGGCTTAGGCTGCCTGAAGGGCAGAGAAAACATTCTGTGGGATAGGACTAAAGCTTGGGAACCCCACCCAAGCACTCAGTGCCACTCCCTAGCTGGGGCTCCCATAGCCAGAAGTGTGCCCCCAGCATGTGCACACGTGTGAGCCGTACACACACTTCCCCTGCTGTCCAAGGAAACAGGCCCATTGTGGGCCTGGGGACACAGCTCGGTCTTCCCTCTGGGTGGTTTTCACTTCCCCTTTCTGCAGCCTCCTCCCTAAAAGCCCTTCAGGCACTGTACAGACCCAGGAAAAGCCTAGACCACCTTTGTAGGCTGTCTGCCCCAGGAGCTCCTCTGAGCCTGGGGCCCCTAGAAAACTCCCTTCTTTGGTTTGGCAGTTCCCTGAGTGTCTGAAGGTTTGAAGCATCCCCCAAACACACTCTTCCCACTGCCCAAAGGGGGACACTGAAGCCTGTGGAATCAGAGGGGGATGATGTCCCAGTCATAATTCCTAACTGTCACCACCTCTGGGCACCATTTGCCCCAGTCCCTCTGTAGGCCGCTCGGTCCTCCCAGGACCCTTTGTCTCACCAGGCAGACTCAGCTCCAGCTCTGCAAGAGGAACCATGTTGCAGGCCTCTCTGGAAGAGGAGTGCTCGCATGTGACCCCAAGGGGAAATGAAAGTCCAGTCAGCCATTCAGAACCCTCCCCTGAAGACTTCTCCTCCCCCTGGAGTCCTGGAGGAACTCCACCAGGCTCCAAAGGCACTCAGGACCCTATGGGCCACTGCTGTCCACCAGCTGCATGGCTAGTTCTGGGCTGCCCTCTACTACTCCAGCACCTCCTGTCAGCAGTAGGGACAAAGGCAAGCCCAGGAGTCTGCATGCCTGGCTTTGGGCTTCCCTCGACCTTCCTAGAGCAGGGGGTCCCAAGAATTCTTTCTTGTTCCCTCCATAGAGCCACCCTTCTCATACCTTCAGTGGCTGGTACTTGATGCCCCAGGCAGTGGCCTGGCCCTGGCCCCTTAGGGGCCTGGGCCTGACAGCGTCCCCTTCCCTTGGTTCTGCCCTCTGCCCCCTCCTTTACCATCCCCCTCCCCCAGCCCAGTCAGTAGAATCAGCCAATCAGAGTCCTGGAAAAGTGGGGCAGAGGGGAGGGCGGGGGAGCAGGGATTAGGGGAATCTGAGGCGAGAGGGAGGGGGTGGGGAGGGCTCCAGCACAGCTGGGGGTGGGGAGCCTGTCCAGAAAGGTCTGGAGGGGGTCCTTCTCTTCCACCCTATGCCAAGACTGGAGGCCAGAGTGCCTGAGGTAGACAGGGGTCAAAGCTGCTGGGAGCTTGCCTTCCCAATTCTAAGGCCTGAAGGAGAGGTTGGGATGCTTGCTTGCCTTTGGCCTTTGAGTTGTCAGGGATCAGAATGCCTTGTGTTCATTTCTTCCAGTACCTTCAGATTTTCAGGTTTGCAATGATCTGTGTGTGTGTGTGTGTGTGTGTGTGTGTGTGTGACGGGGGCGGGGGATGGATATGTGGGAAAGAGGGCAGAAGCTGGGATAGGCACCTGGAAAAGAGAACAGGCAGGTCTGGGAGAAGAGCGGGAAGATGTGGGAAAGAGGGCAGAAGCCGGGATAGGCACCTGGAAAAGAGAACAGGCAGGTCTGGGAGAAGAGCGGGAAGTGCCATATAAACCAGAGAGACGTTGCTGACAAGCAGGACACAGAGCTAGATGACAGGAGGACTGCGGGGCAGAGAAAGGAGAGCAAGAAAGATGAAGGGGAAGACAAGAACAGAGACTGTCTCTTCCAGGTCTGTCCCTTCACAGCCTCTCTCCTGTTCCCACCCCTCCTCACTGCCTGGCACACCAGGGCAGCCTTAACGAGCCTCAGGAATGGTGAGAGAAACCTGAGTGCTCTCAGTGTCCCCTGTACCCACTCCCAACAGCTGGTTTGGGGCTGGCACTTCCACACCCGGGGCACTGTGGACTACAGCTTGGCTTCTTGACCCTTTCCCTGGCTCTCAACTCTCTAGGATCCCACTCCCGAAATCCACATAGAGGAGAGAGCTGAGTTCCTCAAAAAGCCACAGAGGAACATTGGAGGAGCAGCTATGTGCCAGGCAAGGAGCAGTGCCTCTTGTCACTAGCATGGAGGTGGCTCCATCTAGGAGAGTCTATGAAGTAGCCAGCATTATTTCTTTCATTCAGCATGTGAGGAAACTAGGCCTCAGAGAGGTTAAAAACTTGGTTGATTGGGGGGCTGGAGAGATGGTTCAGTGGTTAAGAGCACTGGCTGCTCTTGCAGAGGACCCAGGTTCAATTCCCAGTACCCACATGGTGGCTAACAAGTTTCTGTAACTCCAGTTCCAAGTGATTCCAAGACCCTCTTCTGACCTCTGTGGGCATTGCATGACACGGGTGCACTCATCCACATGCAGGTAAGACATCCATATACATAAAATAAAAATAAATACATGGGGCTGGAAAGATGGCTCAGCGGTTAAGAACACTGGTTGTTTTTGCAGAAGACTCGAGTTCAAATTCCAGCACCCACATGGCAGCTAACAACTGTCCATAACTCTAGTCCCAGGGGATCCGACAGCCTCTTCTGATCTCCGCGGGCATTGCACAACATGCACCTACTTACATGCAGGCAATACATACATACACATAAAATAAAAATAATAAAATTAAAAAAAAATGATATTTTAAAAAGGGTGGCTGATGTCACACATCCTGTCTCAGGGCTGAGGTTCAAATCAAGATCTGTCACACTCTAGCAAATTCTCCCCCTGCTATGTTGCTCCCAGAGGGCTCTCATTTAATGCTGAAGCCGAGGGCTGAGCACAGGCTTGCATCTGGTTTAAGTAGAGGATGTGGAGAGCGAGTTCCATGCTTTTCCTGGGCTCGGAGTCTCCGTTTAGCTTCAGAGGAGGGATAGAGGAAATCAGGTAGAGGCCAGGCTGTTCCCTAGGGCCTGGAACTCATCTTTTCCACAAATGTGGGGTGAGGGTAGGGCAAGGAGGGAAGTGGGACGGGTGAGATGAGGGCAGAGTGAAGGAAAGAAGCGAGGTGGGCAGCTGGTGATGGACTGTCCCCTTCCCAGGCTTCTCTGACATCTGAGGTGGGAAAGGGGCAGATGGCAGCTTAAGAGTCGGATGGGCAGAGATAGGGCTCTTGAGGGCTGGGGCTGAGGCTCAGTGGTAGAGCAGTTGCCTGGCATTTGGGAAGCTGTGGCTTCAATCTCAACCCCGCCTATTCCAAAAAACCCAAAGCACTTGGTTCCAAGGAGCCTAAAGATCAGGCTCCTCCCCCTTTTCTGAGACAAATAGTAGTTGCCACTTTCTGAAGCATTCGTTGCCAGGACTTTATGTACACAGTCTCCCATGGGATGCTTCCACTGTGCACTAACTGGGTGAGTAGCTGCTTTCGCAAACTTACTCAGTCTCATTTCTCATCTGTCAAACCAAAACAACAGTACCTGCCTCCCAAAGTTGATGACAGGATTGAACAAATCCATGTAAAATGCTGGCATGCTGCAATGAGCACTCAATAAATGTTTGCTGAATAAATGAATTCTTTTCTGATAGATGATGACAGTTGGATCAGAGAGGGGGAGTTACTAGACCAAGGTCACATAGCTAGTGGGGGATTTGAACAGATCTGGCTCCAGATACAAGTTTAAAAAAATTTTTTTTGTGTGTATGACTGTATTGCCTGCATGTATGTGAGTACATCTGCCCGTGTCATACAATGTCTGGGGAGGTCAGAAGAGGGTGTCTGATGCCCTGGAACTGGAGTTATGGAATAGTTGTTAGCTGCCATGTGGGTGCTGGGAACCAAACCTGGGTCCTCTGCAAGAGCAGACAGTGATCTTAACCACTGAGTGATCTCTCTAGCCCCAAGATGCAGGATTTTTAAGCATTATGCTTCTTAGAAGACTGGAGGAGGAAAGGGAGAAAGACAGGAAAGGACTTGAAGGGCTGAGGTAGGAGGAAACAGAGGTTGGAAATCCAGGGCTTTTGTCTTGTGGGAGGTGAAGACTGCAGGCAGGTTGGAGGAAGAGGAAGAAACCTGGGAAATTGCGTGCATGTATGTGCGTGTGTGGCACCCACTAGACAGAGCGAGGAGGAGCTGGGGCTGAGCTGGGGCAGGCCACTCCAGAGGGAAGCTCATTAGAGTAATTACCTCCAGCAGACAGAGCCCCACCCCATCCATGAGGGATTGCTACATGCTTTATTCAAGACAGTTCCCAAGGCACTTTAGAGGGGTGAGCTCGCAGACCCTTGGTCAGAGTCCAACTGTCCATCTCCAAACCCTGTTTAGCCCTGTACATTTTAATTCTACTCTGGAACCCACAGCCAGGCCATACCTGGCTTCCCACATTTCAGTGAGGGCTGCTCTCCTTCTTCCTACCCTAGAAGGTTTGGCCATGTCCTGGGCTAGGGCCTCTGGGCTTTCTTAGGTGGGCTGGGCGGCTGTAGCATACAGAATGGGATCAGCCTGGGTGAGTTAGCTGTGAGCTGAGCTGGCTCAGGGAGTTGCCTGTCACGGTAGGGTTAGAGCAGGGAAGGTGAGTAGGACGGTGAGTTAGCGTCTGTCTCACTCAGACTGAAATCAGAGAGAGAGTTTTTGGGGTTAGGGCTGTGGGTGGTTAGGGTACCATGGTGGTGAAAGGCACAGGCAGAGTACAGGACCCATATGGGAACTGGCCTCTGGGGCCAACTGAGAGACCGAGATTTCATCTTTAATCATCTCTTTTCTCCTTCAGGCTTTTTAGCTTGTCCTTCTCCAGAGATGCCTACACTCAGGTCAGGGTGGCGCGGGGGGGGGGGGGGGAAACAAGACTGACACCTGAATTCCTGTGTTTTATTTTTTTGGTCAAGGCCAATGTTATCTGTACCCTCTGCCTCCATTCCCTCAGCCTTCTGTCAGGCTGAGGGCTGGAAAGGCTTTGAAGTCAAAGATGAAAGAGACAAGGGGATGATTATGAACAACTGAAAACACCAACCCTAATAACCCGGGGGTGGGGTGGGGGGGTGAGGGCGTGTATATGTGGGTGTGGGCGGGGCCTACAGGGAGGAGGTGCCTGGGATGGGAGGAGCTGACTGCAGAGCTCTGGGAAATCTTCCCAACCTGACTGGGAGGGGCCTCCCCACGCTCCTGCTCCTCACTGTACCAGGGACTCAGTTGGAAAGGATGGTGGCAGTTCAGGGGGAACCAGAACCCAGAACTGCCATCTTGTACCGGGGGCTCTGACTCTTGTATTTTGTTTTGAGACAGGATCTCTTACTCTGTAGCCCAGGCCTGGTCTCAACTTCCAGTGATCTCCTCCCTCAGCCTCCTCAGTACTGGGATTACAGGTGTGAGCCACCGCACCCAGCTGAGTCTGGATTTTGAGCAGTCTGGGCAGGGCCATTTTAGGGCTCCTCCAGGGCCACCTTGCTCAGGGACTTGGTGACCTCAGCATACAGGCCTGAATACCTTAGTATGGTCCTGAGAGTGGGTCAAACCCTGGCTGGCAGCTTCCTCCCTTTCTCCTTCCTTCCTCAAAGAAGGTTGGGATATAGCTCAGTGGAAAAGCTTGTGATTTGCAAGCACAAGTTCTTGGGTTCATCCCCAGAACCAAAAAAGAAAAAAAGGAAAGAGAGGGCTAGAGCTAAGGTGTGTGGGGCCCCACCAGGCTCCTGCCCCGCTGTGGGCTTGGCACAAGGAGGGAGTTAATCATAGTGTCCTCCAGGGAGATGGTAGGGGCCAGTTGGTGGCAGGATCCAATGTCAGAGAATTTGGACACAGTCTTGTGGCTGGGTGTTGGCCCAGCTTTCCCAGGTCTCTACCATCCAGTTCTCTGGGGCCTCCTGACCAGGGCAAGCCTGGCCTGTTCTGGGCAAGCAGGATTTGGCTTCGGCAGCTGGCCCAGGGTGGAACTGGAGTACAGGGATCACACAAGCTGTGTGTGCTGGGGTCCTGAGTCTAACTGTGTTGAGGTGTTCCCTGGAATGGGGGTGGTGTTCACAGAAGGGATGACTATCTTATAGAGACAACCTTGGGGAGGAGGTAGGTGACTAGCATTCTTAAGTTGGTGT